CACCTCAATGTCTTTCTTGAAGTGATGGGTCCAAAAGTGAACACAGGATTCGAGACGCAGCCTCACCAGTGCTGAGTACAGGGGAAAAAACATTGCCCTGGTTCTGCTGGACACACTATTGCTGATACAAGCCAGGATGCCATCAGCTTTCTTGCCCACCTGGCACACTGCTGGCTCATGTTCAGCCACTGTCAAACAGCACCCCCAGGTCCTTTTTCGCTGAGCTGCTTTCCAGATACTTTTGAAGAGTCAACTTCAGCCTTTGTAATAAGATGTCAGAAATAGAATATCACAAGTTTAAAATTAATCTACCTGTAGAAGACTCACTAAAGCTATGTACCTTTCTACACATGCTTAGCAAATTGAGAGATTGACAGGTCACCTTGTCATAGAGGGAGATCGGGTTGGTCCAGAAGGACCTGCCTTTCATAAACCCATGTGGTCTGGGCCTGATCCAGTAGTTGTCCTATATGTACCAAATGGTGGCACTTTAAGACAACCTGCCCCACAACCATTCCCAGCACTGAGGTCAGACTGACAGTCCTGGAGTTCCTCAGATCCTCCTTGTAGATGGGTGTCACGCTGGCCAACCTCCAGTCATCTGGGACCTCCTTGGTTAGCCAGGACTGATGACAAATGATGGAAAGTGACTTCCACCAGCTCTGTCCATACCCTTGGGTGGATCCCATCTGGCATGATAGACTTGTGTGTGTCCAAGTAGTGTAGCAGGTTGCAAACCTTTACTCTTGAATTACTGGGGCTTAATTCCATTCTCCCTGTCCCTGTCTTCCAGCTCGGAGGGCTGGGTACCCAGGGACTAAGTGGTCTAGCTATTAAAGACTGAGGCAAAGGCAGCATTAAGTAGTCCAGCCTCTTCCTCATCCTTTGTAACTATGTTTCCCTCCACATCCAGTAAAGGATGGAGATTCTTCTTGGCCCTCCTGTTATTGTTAAAGTATTTATAGAAACATTGTAGAAACATTTTTATTGCTACTTCAGTAGCCAAAGTTCTAGTTGGGCTTTGGCCCCTCTAATTTTCTCCCTTCCTAATCTTACAACATTGTTACAGTCTTTCTGAGTTGCCTGACCCTTCTCCCAGCGGTCATAAGCTCTCCTCCTTTTCCTGAGCTCCAGTCAAAGCTCCCTGTTGAGCGAGGTTGGTCTTCCCCACCAGCTCATCTTAAAGACAACGGGAATGGCCCACTCCTCTCCTTTAGCATTTCCTCCTTGAAGAATGTCCATCTTTCCTGGACTTCTTTGCCTTTCAGGACTGCCTCCCAGCAGATTCACTCAACCAGTCTTCTAGACAGGATAAAGTCTGCCCTGAAGAAGTCCAAGGCAGTGGTCCTGTTGACTCCTCTCCTTACTTCTCCAAGAATTGAAAACCATCATTTTGTGATCACTGTGCCTAAGATGCCTCCAACCATCACGTCACCCACCAGCCTCTGTTTGCACACAACAGGAGCAGCGAGGCACCTTCTCCACTGCAAACTACTCAGATTTCACACAGACGTCCAACAATAATGCTCTAAAATATCATACACAATTAATAGATTATTTAGATAAACCTGGAAGGTAATACACATGTAGGTGAAGTCAGTGGCTGCAGACATTGCTTAACGTTGGGACATCACTTGCTTCAGAAGTCTTGCCTGCATAACTTTCTTTCCCCAAGGCATCTGATCAGTAACTCAAGGCTAACTTGTTTAGCAGGTTCCCTAATATAATATATATAATGTTACTATTTAGTTAGGGCTAAAGAACAATGCAATTAATTCCTGACAAGAAGAATAAACTGAGGGCAGTGAATACTGTTGCATATTCTCTGCTCTGCCTTTACCCAAAAACTCTGTACCTACATGTGCAGAGAGAAGACAGATTATATATTAATTGTCCCTCACGAGTAGTGAGTATCTGGACAGGTCTGGTATATTATAGGAGTATATCAGCAGTGACATTCTGATAGTTCAGGTAATTGTATTCATTAGTCTCCTTGTAATGGGAAGCTCACTCAAATCTTATAGGATCTCCTAGAGGAAAATCTGTAAAACTGTTTTTAAAGGACTGCATTGTACTTTTCCTTCTCACCCTATTTACTCAAAATATTTGAAACATTTATTCTTGTTTCAATTTTATCAACTGGAAAATTGGATATACTTATACATATTTTTTAGGCTTTTTAGAGGAAAACCAAAACCAACGTTCATTCCAGAGACCACCCCAGCAACCCCCGAAGGAAGACATGCTGCCCAAAAATTCATCGTGAGTGGTAGGAGAGTAAGTTTTTCAGACTTCTTCAGTGATAGAATAAGAAGGCACAGCCTTTCACAAGATTGTTCCAGCAGATCAGTAGAGCACTCATGTTCTTGAGTCTCTTCCTCCTCTCTTGTATTAATAGCACAACTCTTGAGTTGCATTGTGACTGAGTAATTCACTCAGGGACCTTATGTAAACCAGGGTGAATAGGTGAATAGGGCATGGATTCTAGGTGGGCATAGGTAATCTTCGAGAACCTCAAGTTGCTTCCAAGCTGTTGATACAGAAGCTCTAGTCAAAGAAAATAAGATGACAAAGCCACATTTCCATCAGTTCTGAAAGTGAGAAAAATCTCTGCAATGACTGATAAAACTTTTCATTGCTAAATATTCCTAAGCTTTGCAACTTCTTAGTACTGAAAACTGTCAGATGTTACCAGATGCCACCCACAGACTTCTCAAGGTATACCAGAGTTGAATGCCTACCCTAATTTATAACTGGAACTACATAAAATAAAGACTCTGTTCTCATAACATGTCTACGTGGTATACAGTTGAGAAAAAAAAAAACAACCCACATGGCCCATGATTTATTCTTTTTCCTAAGGAAGTGGATCAGCTTAAACTACTTTATAACTACAGTACTGCACAATTCACATCAAACTGACACAAACATCAGAGAGAGTACCCAACAACCAGAACGATCATACAGCTCACTAAAATTTGCAGATCATTCTGACACTAGATCATTGGTTTCAGAGGTACTAAGAAATTTCTCAGAAGTCCTTTCCAAAATGAAAAGACACTTCCAAATTCAAAATTCCTACTGCAAACTCCTCCTGTGGCCAAATCCCAAGATGAATTCTGAGGAGAACAGAAAAATATAAAAGGAGTCCAAAACAATAGTTCTTCCTGAAAACAAGAAACTGTTGGTCACATAAAGCAACTAATGTAAAGGAGAGAGACTGCTGTATTGAGGGCTTTGTAGATAATTCAGTCTCCCACAGAAAGAATTCCATCCTCATGTTTGTCAGTCACGGCAGAATGGCCACAAACCCTGAAATCCCCTGGATCTAGGAACACTGATATAAAACAGGAGATAACTTGCTGCCCCTCACCACAATGCAGATACTGAGGAAAAACGGAGCCAATTCACAGGCCTTATGCTCCCAGGGACTCTCCTGCCCTCATATCCTCTTCTGCAGGCACTGCATCAACTTCTCTCTCTGTTGCTCCTCGATGCCCTAGTATAGCAGACCAGAGCAGCAGACAAGACAATGAGGAGTTTTGATAGAAGAGGGTAAGATTGCCAAGTAGAGGGCCGAGCTGGCTATTCAGTATGGATTTCATAGCAGTTGTCAAATTTAGGTAGAGGAAGTAGCAAACGTGTATTTTGAAAGAAAGGGAAGGCCAAACTGTTATGGACCAAGCAAGGAATGGGAGAATATGATAAAGTTAAATAATTACTAAATCCAGAAAAAAAAAAAACAAAAAAAAACACATCTAGATGATGTCATTTTAGCAGTATAATATATCAAGTCACTTAAGCTTCAGTTTTAGTCAAAAGATAACTTTTAAAATTAAAATGGAAGTATGGCATTTGCACACTAATTTCTTACAACTGTGCAAAGAAGACTCCTCAGTAGGAGGGGATACAGTTGCCAGTCTACTCTGTGTAAGTGAGCAGGGAAATAGAAGACACACAGGATATATGAGGGACACATTCAACAGTCTGACGGGATTTAGGTTTTATACATCAGGATCATTAGACAAAGGATTAAATTAAGGCAGCTACTGTAAGCAGTGGATCATAATAAATATGTAAATAAGTGGCTCCATCAAATACTCTGGCAGGAAAAAATATAAGCTGTACTTTAATTAGTTTTAGATAATGCAATTTAAGAAGCTGTCTAATATGGTCAGTTCTTAAGATACAAAAGAGTCTGCAACACAAAAGGCCACTACCACACACATCTACAATATAAAGAAAATTTTATTTTATAAACTCATGTGAACGAAACTGAGGTCAGATGGACAAGATGAGACGGGAATTAATGTTTACTTACACACGGAATTTAAACTATGTGCTAGTAGATCTCTCTACAAGGTCTTTTTAATCTCAGAATGCAACTCCCTCATATTACAGGCACTTAATAGGCAGCTGCAGTTTACTTACAGTACAAAGTTTCACAAACATAAAAGTTCTTCTCCTGACCCAAAATAATTCAGAATACTGTTTGCACATGGAATAAGGAGTTGCATCAGCAAACTGCAAAGAAAACCATGGTAACTATACCACTCTAATGAAAAAGTATTACCATTATATACAGTCAGTGATAACACACTAACAAAAAGTTTATACTTCGTTATTTACACTGGAGTGCAAACAGAACATACACCTCAGCTGCTACAGCCATAAATTTCCCTCCCCACACACAGCTTTCCTCGATTTCCCAGGTTTCAAACACACTGCTCCACAGTAATGGAAGCATTCTTTCGGTTCTGTGCTTCTCATAAAAACATCACATTCATAAGTTTGGCTTCTGGGAAACTAAGGAGTAGGTAATTTTACAAACCCTACAACACCCAAACTTTAATAGCATAGGAAAGACCTGTTCTAGGAAAACACAATACAGCACCTTACGGCAGTTTCCACAAGTGGACCCACCACTTATGTACACTATGAAGTTTCCTCAGAAGTTTCCACTGCAGCTAAATATGAGCTCTCACTTTCCACGCTGGTACCTGTTCAACTTCATCAGTTCTTGTAAGGCTAGGTTTTGCATTTAGCTTCAGACTGCAACGTCCAACCTGGAGAGCAGGGATGGAATTACAATTATACCCAAGACAACTGAATTAGATGTTTACAATAGAAATGGTTTGGAAGAGTTGTTGTACTTCTCTTAATGTAGGAAGAATAAAATAGTAAGCTCATGCAATTCGTTTAAGTACATTTATTCTTCAAAATACTCAACAGTTAACAATTAGAGGCTTGATTACCAACTCTAATAAGATTATTCTGCTTTAAGCAGAAAAAGTCCATATTTTTGTATCTACTCCTGAATATGCTAGCTTTATGCAGTCTCTCTTTCAGGACTTTATAATCCAGCTGTTAGAGGATATATTTTTGATCTTTGTATCTAGAATCAGGTGTGTCAGCTATGCAATGCAATGGTCTGCAGCATCCAAAATACAAGCCTGGCTATTTTTAAGAAGCTGGGGTTTTTTTCCTAAAAAGGAAAAATTAAAAAGTCAAAGAAATTCATGAAGACTGCATCAGAGCTGTTGACTCACTGCAGTCTGTAAAATATATGCTACATTTTGCTCGCAAAATTCTTGTGGTAGTTGAAAAAAATAAAATAATTATAGCTAGAAAGAGGAACACACACGCATTATTTTTCCTCACATTTTCAGCCACGCAGCTAGCCTCATGTATGAGCAGCTGCCTTCAAAGAATGTCTGGATTTCCATTATATGTTTTGCACTACTATTATTTATTGGGATAACAAGTGCCACAGTCCAAATAATTTATCTCACTCTTACGATAAAAAGACAGAATTGCTAAACAGAGACACAGTTTAAATTACTGTCACCTATTTCTAACCACCTCGTCTAAGCAGCTCTGAGGTTTGTCAAAATGTTTAACAAGCAACCAACAGTACTGCTGGACGGTGTAAGCTGAGGTAGTTTGCACAGGCTGCTCTACAGAAAACAATGCTCAGACTCACCTTAGTCTGATGGTCCTGCCTACCATGCTTCTTTGTTCACAGAAAAAAATGCATTTTTCGTGGGCTTTACAACAGATTCACATCTCATTTTGGATAAAGATACAAACTGTGTGAAAATCATGCTACCTCAAAGAAAAATATTACTGACTATGCTTTTGATTTCATTTCTGAACACTTAGCACCTGTTAGTCAGACCTTTCTGTGCCTTCCCAACATCTTTATTTGTAAAATATCTATGCAGGGGTACTTGTCAGTTACCATCAAGCAAATGTCCATAGTTCAATCAACCATGAGCTGAATTTTTAAAATCAGTCTTCTAAGTTTTTTCTCTTGGCACATGTAGAATTGTACACCCAAAATAATTAATCTCTGATATTCTCTGCCTTGATTATACTTTTAAAAAAGCAACTAAAACTTGAAGAGAAGTTCTAGACTTGCAAAAACCCTACAACTATCCATGAAAAGAACAGTAATTTCAAGAATATAAACACACATTCTTATATAAAAACATACCGTTGGGATCTCCGGACTAGAAAATGGAGAGTTATCAAAAGATCGATTTTCTTTGTCCAGAGAATCATCTTCATCATAATTTTTATGTGCAAATTTCTGCTTTAGTGCATGAGTTAGTAGAGCAACTGGATCCCAATCTGAACTTTGCCTCTTTTGGGGTCTAGAAAGAGGAGTACCTCCAGGAGACCTGGGGAAAAAAAAAATAGTTATTGTCTCCCAACCCTATTCCTGATTACATAAATAATGCTGCTGTTAATTTACAGCAATTCATCAAATACAATTTATACAAGTACACCCAACAACTTGTCAGCCACATTCTTAGCCTGAAAACACCACTTGATGCTGTTCCATGAAGAAAAACAGCAGTAAATCAACACGTTGAAGTATTGCAAATAAACAGAGAAAATTTAAAAAAAAAGCAGAATGTACAGTTTTTATAGCAATTCATTTATAGGTTATATTAAGCTATATTAGTGGAAATGTCCCACTACAGTATCTCATGATAAATGTGAATGTAATCTGATTTAAACTTTATTCATTTTAAGTTCAGAATAGCATGGCTTTCTATGGTCCCACAAGAACAAACAAACTCAGGAAATTCCACAGAGCAATTATATTTAAAGAAAACAACCCCTTTAAGTCAAATATGCATCCAGGTAAACACAAAGCCCCATTTATAAGCTACACTTAACTCAAGTTTCATTATTTAAAAAGAAAAAAAATTAGCATCAGGTTTGGCACAAAGGCTTCAAAGACAGTTTTTCCCTCCAAGTAAGCACCTGAGCATCCAAATACGAAAATTTTATAGGCAACAAAAGTAGAGTTTGTATTTGAATTTAGAAAAACTGTTCTAAATTAAAGCACCTGCATCCCAAAACTTAACATGAATGTGGAAGCCAGTGACTAGTCCAAGAAAATAAATCATAAGAAAGACTTTCTAACCATTGAGGTATCTGAGGGCGAGGGGGGAGGAATCTAGAGGTGTTCAGAGTTCTGCTAGTAAAGCACTGCCTCCAGGCCAATGATTTGTACCTAATAATGCACACTGACACTGCTGAGCTTATTCAAAGTCTGGGAGTTACATGAGACCTGAAAGGATGGAGTTCACTCTTCCTACAAAACAAGCCAACAGAACACTTGCCCAGTGTGAAAGACTGTGTCTGGGGTGGTAGAAAATGGGATCTTCAGACTATCAGTTTCTGAGAACAAGGGTTTTCCCTTTGCTGTGCACACATGAAACTATTCTCAGACTGCAGGCTGAAAGATTATAGCAATTTTGGCCATTATTAGTCCCCCCAGCAATATAAATTCATTATCCAATTAAGTTCTACCTTCAGAATACAGGCAGATGCCTAAATCCAGAAAGCATTTCAGACACACATGTACCACTTCTAATTATGCTCATGGTCAATATGCTGGGTATTAAAACTGTCAACCAGATCAACTCACTTCCTTGACTCACCATACACGGAATTATATGGAAGAAAATATATGTAAAGGAAGCACACAGGTTTACCTAAGTGCACTTTATATTTGCCTTATTTACTGTGAAAATGTCATCAAAATGTAAAGACATGCTTTAGAGTTGCATAGAGATAATTGTCCAAGATTTGTGCTAGTTACTTTTAGAGATAAAGCTCACAGTTGGGAAAATGTTGAAATGAGAGCAGTAAGTTTTGCCAAGTGACATTCTTCCCACATTAAGAGCTTCAAATATTCATTATACACTCAGTTATTCTTACATACTTTTTCAACTCAAGAAGTTCAAAGACATCTGACAACCTCTATTATGCCTAGCACAGCACAGCAACACTGACCCGAAGAAGTGTTGCAGTCTTTAGTAAAGCATTTTTGTAACAGGTCAACTGTGCTTACCATCAAAACAGCTGACCATTAAAAATACTTATAACCCAAATGCACTATTGAAATACAAATTTGTGAAACATTTTCAATAAAAGATACAGTATATGTTTTCTTTAACACTTCGAAGCTTGAACCAGGATAGTTTGGGCATGCTAAAAGTAGTTTTCCCAAAGTTTCCCCAAGGATTTGGCCCTTCACTGTGAATCCAGAAAGTTACTTGTTCAGATGAATTTTCTGTGATGGTGTAGGAAACTTTGTAAACAATCTCCCACCTCCCCATACCAACCTGAGATTTGCATACCGAAGCAGCAAACTAGTTTTAAATGCTGTGATATTCAGCACGTTTTAAATGCACCTAAAAGCCATGTCCCAAGTATCTTACATTCCCAGCTGTGAACTTAGATGTTGCCAACTTCAGTTTGACAGCAGTAGCTGCTCATGAAATGATGTTTCACATTGGTGTTCTCCGGTGCTACTGAAGTGCTGTGATGCTTACACAGACTTGGCTTGATGAGGTACACATTTAATTCAACCTACCTCTCAATAGCTCGCAACTGAACTTTGTTTAGGTCTTTCAAAACTTCCATCATACTAGGAACATTCTTTGTCTTCTGGTGATCAGCACTATCAGCTGCACTTGAATCACCGTTTCTTGCAGCACGGCGTTGTTTTATAAGTTCCATTGCAGATTTACTAGAATCAACACCAGATGGTACACCAGAAGGAAGTGGAGGAGGCAAGGGAATTACAAAGTGGTTGTGAGAGACGGACAATGGTGTGGAAGTCATGGCTGGCACTGGGTAAAATCCATCTGGAGTGCTGGGTGTTTTAAAGGCTTCTGGATAGAGTTAAGAGAAGAAAAAGACTAACATGTAGGATGACTCGGTTTTAAGTCAAGATAAGACTGCCCTCTTAAAGCACTTTCTTATACACCTCACACATTATAACACAGAAGAACTAGACTTAAAACCAAGAACATAACTTCAAACCCACAGATTCAAAACACACAAAACAACGAATCTGAGGTGTCCTATGCTGCTCTGATTTTCTCTGTTTGTGTTTTCAATCTAAGCACTAGACAAATCAGCAAAGCAGCTCTCCAACAGCAACTACAAACAGTTTGTTCTCGAGGGTCTGAAGGTCATAATAACCCACATGAAGCAAAAGCAAAGATAGTCACGAAACATGTAAAATAGACTACAGTACTGAGTGCAATGGAGAAGAGACAGAAGAAGAGTCAACAGAACAACTAACTGAATCACAGAAGTCTTCATGATGCCACAGAAAAGTAAGTACCTCGCACCAGTTTACGTATTTCAGCAACCACAGTGGGGTTAGTCTGCAAGTAAAACAATTGAGACCTCAAAATTCTTAGGGGAAAAAGAGAGGTCACAAGATAGAAGTTCATGCTGGAGACCAACTATCTTAGACACATCTGTCAGCAGCGTTTGTTTTTGTTAAAGCCCAAATCTGACTGACTTAAAATAATTTTTCTATCCGTTATTTTGCCAACTTGTTAGAAACAGCACAAAACAAAAATGGACAAAATAGTCTGTAATTTTTTCAAACAATAATTGGTAGCCTGTATATAGTGATGTTATTAAGCTCCTTCACAGACATGGAAATGAGTACGAAGATTACTTAGTATCAACTTTTGAACTTGGCAAACAGGCCACAAAACAGAAGTGAGACAGGGCCACCAACAGCAAAAAGAGAAACAAAATAATATATTTGGTAAATTTACTGGCGTATCTTCAGTGAGAAAAGTTCTCTATCAGACATGGCAAGCTCTAAAGCATAAAAAGGAAAAGTGGTTTGCTTCAAACCAGAAGGGCTCACGTGATGGAATGCTTCCCAGTGTCTGCGCTGAAACAATTGCAGCAATCTGAGCACGAAGAAAGGTTAGCTCATCTTCAAGTGCAGAAATCTTCTGGAGTGCTGCTTGATCAATATTGTCTTCTCGTGCGTTGTTTTTTGGAATGCTCTGTACTGAATCTATAGCTGGATATAGGTCATGATGAGCTGTACGTTTCTCTTTTCTCCATAATTCAGTCCTAGAAAGCAATGAAAGACACAGTTTCAAAAGGCTCAGCCAACAGTGGAAATCTCAAAGCTACTGTCTATTCAAGAAAGTTACTGCCATTCAGCAAGACCTAAATTTTCAAACCATCTAAGAAAACTACACTTTTAACTACTCATAAGCTTTAAAATGTTTTAAGTCTCCCTTTGCTCAAGTACGATGTAGATCCTTGCAAAGTCATCATAAAAATTAGTCAGATAATTTACTCAGGGATAATTAAACATCATAAAGCCATACAGTAGGATTGAGCTGTCATTATTCAATAACTATTAGAATGACACCATGTGGAGTCTCTCCCTTCTCCCTATGTGAATATGAAAGGCAGGAGAGTCAAAGGCTAATGATCTCTTAATTAGGCTTCAGAAATTTTAGTCATTTATCAAACTCTACAAAGAACACTGCGATAAGCAAAGAAATTACAATCTTTCAGAAAATATACTGGAGAAAAACAAGGTTTAATATACACTTACAGAATAAGAACCTCATCTTGTATAAGCTACTATGAACTAAGACAGCATTAGAAAATTGTGCTGTAAGTCTCAGGTTTTAATTTTAAAAATTGTTTCGAGTCTGTGCCTGCAGAAAGAACCTTAAAATATAAAATAAGTATAAAATCAAACTGCCAGAATTTCATTATAAAACAAAGAAATTAAATTTACGTTATTTATTCAAGATGTACTAAGTTTTGATTGAAAACAAACCAGACCTTTTCTCTTATATTAACTATCCTTTTACTTCAAATCAGACCTGCAGCATTGCTTTCTGATTTGCCAAAAACCCTTGTTATTCACACTGCTTGAAAGGGAAAAGATATCAATTAGAATAGCTGTTCTTGGAAAACATCCCACAGAGCCAGAAGGGGAGGAAAGAATGGAAACAACAAAAGAATAAACTGTCATAGATCTGCGAATCTGATCAGCTAAAGAACAGCACAAGCATAAGCAAGACAAAGCAGGTCTTTTAACAATATGCCTTTGAACAATATTCTTACTCTTGCAGTATTTTACCAGTGTTGCATGAAACACACTGTATCAAAACTTCTCCAATAAAAAGTGTGTCCTTTGAATCCATCAGTTTCTTGTATTTTCATTACCAGTAAGTAGCACAAAGATCACAAACAAATGCCAATATGAAGTAGAATTACATCATCCTATACAGACAGAGTAAAAGACAATACAAGTGTCCACATTTTAATCTTGGTTCTGGCTCTCTAACTCATCCTCTGATTTTGAACAGATCCTTTAGAGGAAAAGTAAGACAACTTCCTATTTCTTCTCTAGTGGGGAAAAAAAAGAAAAAACTCGTACACTATTTGTGTCTGCAAACTCCTGGACACTTTCTCTTTTCACAGTACCTGAAATACTTCGTAATTTGTAAAAATATTTTCCTTCAACATTCTATAAAGGCTAGAAAGAATTATATAAACTACACTCAAATCTATTTCAAATTGTTAAGATAAAAGAATTATGTTTGTACTTTCCAGCAAAGCAATCACCAAGGTTTACACAGAGCAGTGCAGAAATCAAAGTCAAAAGGAGACATTTTAATATTTTTTCTTGTTTTTCCCTTTCTAAAATTTATCAAAATGGTTGCAAACTAAAAGGATAAAGACAGGAATAATCTTAGGGTATACTGCAATAACCAAATTTCCCTTCAACTCACAAAATACTTTGTGAGTAAAAACCAATTAAAATATCAGCAATGCATCTGACGTGCTACTATGAAAAGAAAATAGGAGACTAAATTTCAGAAATCTTTCGGATAAGAATGCTTTACACAGTAAGAATTTCCACGTAAGCAGGAACTGCCCCTACCAAAACCACCTAAGATATTTCTGGAAAATGCTAGGAAAAAAAAAGAAACAAACATGAATTCACACCCCATAAAGAACAGAAGGCATAACTCCTTTTACTCCTATTACTCCTTTTTATACTTTTACTTACCTAAGTCTAGTAAAAGCCTGTCCTTCATCATTTGCCACCCACAGGACATCAGCAAGTGATGGAGCTACAGGAGTTGGAGCTGCACTTTGTTCATCGTAACCCAATGGACTTGGGTCTTGAACAAGCTAAACCAAACAAGAATGACAAAAAAAAGTATGAAGAGAAACCGAATTCAGCACATACTGAAAGTTCTGCAAAAGGAGTTTTTAAACAGTGATGTAAGGAAGTTGAAAAGAGGGAACATAAGGGATGCAACACACAAATTACACGAGCTAAAAAGAACAGAAAAGCTATCATCAAATTAAGAAACAAGAAAATGCAAATAGGTGAAGTATACATATGACAAATTGCTTACTTGAAAATAAGGTCTTGGGTAGGGCTCCAAGGAAAGAATTGCCCCAAGTCTCCGGACAACACTTCGAGTAGATCCATATTGCTTTTTTTGGCAAACAGATGTGACCTAAAAATCAGAAAACCTTTGAAAATGAGAAGTAAAATCAAATTCCGCAGTTCTTACAATCCAAATTATTAAATCCTTTCAAATTATATGTAATTAAATATAACACAGTTAGGTTAACTTCACTTTCCAATGCTCTTCTCTAGCTGAAAGTCCAAAGAGGCCTACACTGGTTTTAACAAACAATGTCTAAGATGCTTCCAAAATACAGCCTGTTCACAGAATACTTTAAAGAGGCACAAAGGCAAATATCCTGAGATACTGACAAAAGAAAAACTGCACATTTTAAGTAATCATATGTATCTGTGTAAGTCTTTGGGGAAAAGAAGTTAGTAAAGAAGTGAAATAAATGTAATAATGTACCTTGATTTGATACTTCCTTATTATGGTGTACAACTGCTGGAAATGCCTTCCTGATGAGACTGCTGAAGGAAGGCATGTTCTGATTGCACGAGTGATACTGCTGCCAAACATGCGAGTTTCAAAAAATACGGCCTGTCAAAAAACACCAAGAAGTCCCAACGATGGAAACAGAAAATAAAGAGGAAAAACCAAACCAGAGTCCCTAGAGCCACTCTGGCAGTTTCACACACATATCCCAGATCCGCCTCAGAAGCACACGCTGCAGCAGCACCTCGCTACTGACACACCCACGAAGGAGCTGCCCACAGTTCCCCCCCCCCCAGCATCAGCGCCGACACTGCACCACTGAGCTGTCTCCGCTTCCCATACCGTACCTTTCCCAGGTCTCTGGAAACACAGAATTAACTTGGGAATGGGTATGTAGCCTTTCATTTAAAGCAGCAAAACAGGAACAGCTGACGCTCCTGACTCTATTCCTCTCTGTTCAGGGCAAAAAGCGCGCCTTGACCGGCCGAGCCGGAGCAGTGACCCACGCGTTCCCACGTGCGGGCAGAGTGTTCCGACGAGCCCAGCTGTGGGCACGGAGGGCGCGGAACCCGCCGCACCGCCAGCGGTGCCGATCTCTCCCTCGCTCCCTCCCTGCGCGGAACCACGGCGGCTGCGGGCGGGACGCCCCGCACCAGCGGGTCTCCGGGCGCCGCCCGGCAGCAGACTGCCCCCTGCGCCACCGCGGGGTCTCACCTGGTGGGGCGGCCAGCCCAGGAGCTCCAGCAGCCGGCGGAGCAGGTCCAGCAGCAGCGCCATGGGGGGCAGAAGGCGCAGCCGGATCAGCCGCCCACCGAAGGCAACACCGAGCCCGCCCCAGCCCCGCGCGGGGAGCGCCAGTCGGAGCCGGGGGCGGGGCACAGGGGTAGCCCACCAATAGGAACGCGGCAGTGCATGGGGTAGAGCCAATGAGGGGGCGGGGCGGGCCCGCGCGGGGGGTGTCGGGAGGGAGCGGTTTGAAGGCCCAGTGCCCTACGCTGCGACACTCCTGGGAAAACGCAGCTCCGGCGACTGCGAGAGCAGAACACAGTATGCATCAAGAGAAGAAACTCACTAGCACATGTTATAGCTCTGAATTCATGGTAAAGGGCTAAACTGAGATGGTTTGGATCCTCGATGTAGCAAACTCATAACTAGTTCATTCAAAGTATCCTCAGCACAGTAACTACCTGATAGCATCTGAACAAACTGAGTTCACTTCAAAACAAGAAATCTGGCTTTAGATACTGTTATTTAGATACCTGTTCTTTAATCGTGCTAGTAAAGATTTCTGCCGTTTCTTTAAAAAATTCAATACTTCAAGAACACTTGCAGTGTGACAAAATAAAACAGTGCTTCCACTCAGAGAAATAATATGGATATCTTTTTCCTCCACCTATGCAGATAGTGTTACTGTTAGTAGTGTAGTTACTATTACCCATAACTTGTCACATAGACTGATTCTCCAAGATCAAACACAAAGAAGGAACAGTACTGATAACACACACACTGTAAGAACAGCACAGAGCAGGTTCAGGGGCCTAGGAAGGTTTAAGCTTGAGGTTTGACTGGATCAGCACCAGTAACCAGCTGCTTTGGAACTAGAGGTGCAGTTGAGAGAGACCTCATACAGAAAGGCTTCAAGTCAGCAGGTACAACTCTGAGCAGTACAGAAGGGACCTCCAGGATCTTCTAAAGAAAAGGATTTTGTGACAGGCCAGCTTTAAGAAACAAGGAGAAGTGACATGAGGCTCAAGGCCTAATACTGCAGCCTTTACCTCTTGAGATGTACCAAAGCAGGTAACAGGAAGAAAGCTTAAATCTGATGTAGTTGCCCACTGTTACAGTAATGCAACTGATTCTGCCTTCCCAGGAACAGGATGTGAGGTTTAATTCCGAACCAAGAAACTGATCAAGTGCACACAGTCTGGAATAACAGGATAGCTAGATTTTTTGGTGTGTTTTGGGGGGTTTTTGTTTGGGTTGGTTGTTGGCGTTTTTTCTGCCTAGTGAAATGGATGTCTGATTTTATCTGAACTGCAGGGATAACTTCAAACCTTATAAGTACACTGCAGAGGTGAAGCAGATTCACAAAGTGCTGCACTGCTGGAGAGCAGCAAGTCAGAACAAATTATTGAACTCAAAAGGTAGTAAAACATTTAATGCCAGCATAATGTCCAGATTTTTTCCCTGGAGATCCATCAATGATGGTCTTTACCTTGTAATGAGAAATGCAAAATGCATGACTCTTGTGAATGGAATTTAAATGCAACTACCTTAGTAGTGCTACTTAGTAGCACCAAGTGAAAACTTCAAAACAGTTTTTTTTCACAGCAGGGAAAATTCACTGTTGAAAGACTAATAGGTGCTAAAGCATCAGTTTTGGATTTATAAAAAAATAATCTTCACTCCCACTTTCTTACAGATCTCTGATAATCAGATTACAACTTGCATCTTTGACTACATTATCTCTTAATTTGAACTAATTTATTTTTAAAAATTATTATGGCTGTCAGTATGTGTTCTGAAATCAAATTATATTTTTAATAAACTGCACTGAAATTAGGGATTGTGAAAAAAGGATTTTTATGATCTAACCTAGACAGGTCTGTAGGATCAAATGCCATTACCAAAGCAAACTCTACTAGATCTCCCTGAACATTCAGCTGAAGCACAAAACTTACATCTGCCTATTCACCCAGGAATTATCTTGCTTTATGACACATAGACCACAACCATCCACTTTCAACTTGACCTAGATGATACAGATTACCTGTTCTAAGGTCATGACAGCTCAAGTGTATCTTGGTCCTATTTGTTATTTTCAGATTGGTGTTAAATTTTACTTCATTAAGAAAGACTGATACTGATGTCAAGTTTGTTTTGTTCCTTTTCTGCTTATTCTGATTTAATATACAGAAATGTCTGTGTGAGTTTTGCTAAAAAGTCAAAGGAATATTCAGTTTTACATTTCAAACAGCTATTAAAACATGCACTGTACATGTAAAAGCAAATCTTGCAATGACAGTATAGTTGGCCTAAACTTTCTAAAACATAAAGAAGGAATGACTCTTTAGTAACTAACTACTACTGGAGGGCAAGTATTATTCCTATTTCCCTTTCTACACAGCTTCTGGCAAACTAGTACAAATTCAAAATACAGTTTCTTCAACTACAGTTAGGATTAGAGACAGTACTGTTTTTCTGCCTTCTAGTATTTAACTTGGATAGGGCAGATGGTTAATTACTCCCTAACAATAAAGCCAGTAAGAGGGCATACATTACATACATATTTAATACAAACACCTCTTCAAAGCTTTTCCTTTCCTTTTTTTTTTATTTTTTAAAAACAGTATGCTATTCTAAGGGGTGAATAAGAACAACTACACTTTTAACTCCATATAACATTAAGATTTAGTTTATCAACAGCTGTTGGAGAAAGAAAACCAAAGTAATCTTGTTGTATTAGAATGTCCTTGTCCTGGTAATACAAATATGTTAGTGTCACCCTTAACATTCTGGAGTTTAAGTGTGCAGCTACCACTAAACTAAGCTTGTGGGTTTGTTATTTTAAAAAAAAAAAAAAAAAAAAAAAAAAAAAGGCAGCAGACTAACACCTGCACTTTGGCTATAAAAATTCCAGAAGCGCAACTATTAGAAAACAGTGTATAGAAAGTAAGATTCATTTCTCACACTTCCACTATATCTGAATTATCTTTACCAACGAAACATTTAAAGACCTACTCTTGCCAGATTACAGGTCTGGAGAGGCAAGTCCACATAGAGAAATTAGAAGTTTTAACAAACTGGAAGGAAAAAAAAAAAAATGGTAAAAAAGATACTGCCACCAATTTATTCACTAAAGTGTTCTGCTGATGACTAAGCTATCAAAGAATACACTTGAAACTCACTTAGTATTTATGTACGAATGTATTTCTTAGGCTACTAAAGAAGAGCGAAAATTTCACCATTAAAGCAAAATTCTTGCTGCACTCTCGCAGGGTGGAATAAGAATCCAGGTTTATCACTGATACTATGTGAATGTGATTCTTGTGAACATATAATCAGCATTTTGCACAACTGTTTGTACTTACACTATGACTATGTAACTACCCTTAAACACAATTCTTATAAAAAGGCAACACAGAAGTAGTAATCAGTTTATAAAAAATGCTGCTCCAAGATCTCAGGTGTGCAGAACTGTAAGTTTACTTCAGAATAAAACACAGACATAGGGGAGAATCAAAACTTTCAGTTGTACTTGACCATATATTTGGACAAAGCAGAATTACACTGCATATAACAAACAGTAAAATTTCTTAAAAGTTGTTACAAATATTTTACTTTCTACCTGTACGATCATTAACATAGTTTACTGTATCATGATTTTTTTCTAAAGGCTTAAAACAAAAACAATCCCCCTAAACTACTTTCCAACAGTAAAATTTAAGTAAAATGCTTACATTCATTTGACAACAAAAAAACATATTAAAAATGTTGTGAGGGTGGTGCAACAGCTGCTCTTTCAGCTACAACTTTCTTCCAGGGTTATTCCTGTGGAAAGAAAGAAAAGTCTTGTTGTAAACTGTTAATAACCAAAGTCCAAAACCTTTTAAAGAGATCCCCACTCGCACCCAATGACTTACAAGACAAACTGTCTAATCTGCAATCCACTGAACCCTTTACCTTTTCCTCTTTGCGTCTGTCCTTTTCTTCATTATTCTCAATCGTTTCTTCTTCGTCTTCCACAATGCCATCCCCTTGATATTTGTCATGTGTCCACTTCGGACTGCTACCTGACTTTTTGAAGTTAAAACGCCCTCTGCCACGCTGGAAAGTACCACGGCCTCTTCCTCTTTTGGCCCAATAATCCACACCATCATCTCTGTCATCGTGCTACAATAATGCCAGACAGAAAGTAAGGTTAGAACACCTCTTAAATGTACCCCTTAATGTCAGCACTCTATAGCAAATGTATAAAACAAAGTAAATGTTAAAAAGTTCTCTTCGGATCATAATTTATAGAATCCATTATGAACTATATTCTTACAATTCATGATGCTGTAATTAAAACCACAACATTGTTTTAAGAGCTCTTATTAGCTCTGGGTCTACTAAATGTTGTAACAAATAACTTATCTGTCACTTATCTGTCACTTCAGTCAGAATAAAGAACTACTAGTTTTGAGGGGAAAAAATTGTTACTTTAAAAAGAAGAAGCTCTAGGAATGTACTAGCATTTTTTAAAAATAATTTTTATTTCAGTTCTTTATACTTAATAAGGAAAAATAACTGAAGGCAGTTTTCAGAAAACCCGCTTCCCCAGCACAACACAGGGCAAATGAAGTTTAAACTGTTTAAATCTGACATTAACAAACAACAGTTGAGTTGGTTAATAAGCCAAACTTTGCTGTCTTGCTACCAAATACAACCTTACACTGTTTGTTAAGTTCTGACAATCATTCCATGCACTGCATAAAAGCTACAGACAATTATTTAATATAAAAAAAGGTTTACATTTAGAATGGTGAGGTACACTTGCTTCAACATATGTTTTTTTACTTGTGATTTGGAAAGAAATCTGAACTACTAAACATATCACACTCATATTAAGCAGTTTAACAACTATATAAAAGTAGCTAAAGGGTGTAATTTTTGTCTAAAAACATTTTTAATGAATTCAAGTGTAATAGCTACAATTAACTGTTCTAGTATCATAGCATTTCTTAATAAATAGATTATCATATCTCTATGTTTACAGATCAGAAAAGTTTATATATGTGTAGGAAGACAGAAAACTCCTTGTACAATCATCCAAACCAGGACTGCATTATTTCTTAGTTACCTGTTAACATATTTGTGGCAAGCTATAATACTATAGGAGAAGGTCTAATCCTCACTACTTATTATTTTTTGGTGGTGAAACAATATACTTCAAAGTTTGCACTGTTAAGGAAATCAACTGGAGTAGAGGCCACCTTTTCAGTATACTACACTACTTAAGAGTGGTTACATCAACAGTCCTCCTTTCATAATCCAGATGGGAAAAAGGCATCAAAACTATTGTGATTTTCTTATGACTATCACACTACTCAACTAAGAGCAGAAAACTGCTCATAACAAAGTCAGCCTACATACATCCACAAATACTGTCAGCTTTTCCTGATTTTCCACTTTTGCAGACTTCTTAGTCAGACATCTTAAATTCCAGATGAATCTAAGACAAAGCTCAAATGTCATAAAGACATAAATCCAGGAAAACACAGCACAAATCTTTTTGGTTTAAAGTTTGGTTTTAATAATTTTTGTCTAAGCCTGCCCTCTTCCCCACTCCTGATGAAAGTTTTGGAGATAAATTCTGTGTCAGGCCTCAGTTACTGCCAGCCTGCTGCAGAAAGATGCAAGAGAAGCAGAACTAGACACTACAACCACCCTGATGATTCTCACGGTCACTGAAGTCCCTGTCCACACATGCATGCTACTTCTACACTTGTAGAAAGTTTGAAAAAACAAAAGCATGCATAAGACATTGAGTTCTCCACACCCACCAAGAAGTATTTCTTGCTTTTTGGGGTATATTCAGGATCCCATTCCTCTTCCTTCGGTCTCTTCTGAAAAGTAGTATTTGAGTTGCTGGGACCAGTATTTGTTCCAGCAAAGACTCCTCTGGCTCTTCCTCTGCCCCTAATTCGAAACTGATTAACCAAGATGTCATTTAATCCATTTACATAAAACCACAAAGAGTTCAAGTTCTCTGTTACTGAAAATACTCTTTCTGTGCTTAATTACAGTATCTGCAAGTGTAAAACCATTTTCAAATTCACATATTACCTTAAGTAATATATTCAAGCATTCACTTTGAAATAATGATTCTATTAAGCTTAATTGAAACACATTTGAACTTGGCATAAGTTTACCCACAACCACCAAAAAGAAACTTCCTTTGACTGCTGTTAAACCAGCAGTTTTTGTGTTGCAACAAAAGGTCAGAATAGCTTCTGAAGCTGTTCACAGACAAAAAAACAAACAAAAAAACTAGACTGGAAGAGGGAGAAAACTGTCAAGGGGAAGGTAGAGGTCATTTATGGAGTCAATCGTATCAGTTATGAGGAAGTGATTCTAGAATACATACTAACAATGCAGTTTTTAAAGTAGTATATCCACTGTGTGTTACTCACACATTTTTAACAGAGACTCAAAAAATGTACTTTAGGCCAAATTAAATTACAAATGAGTAAATTATTTACTCAAAAAAAAAATCAACAGTATGTACTGTTCAGAGTAGCAATGCTTGAAGTAAAAAAGAGTGTCTTAAAATATTCTCTATAATGTATTAATGGTATTTTTAAACATTAGGCTAAAACGTCTCACAGCAAAAAAACCTTTAAATCAGAGTACACTAAGTAGTAATATATATACTTCCCTTACCATGTAAATACTTAGCTTGCAGAAAACATTAAATGATTTTATATCCTTCATCCAAAGGGATAAGAAAGGTTAGGCTGGAAAGATAAAAACGCTAAAACTTGCCATTGCTACAGAACACAATTTCCATAAACAGCCTATTGCACAAAACTGCATCTTTGGAGTAACAGTACAAAAACATAACTTGGAGACTAATTTAATTTGTTAGAAATAAGTATGGTTCATAAACACAGACAAAAAAATTTATATGATTAACTAACTCAAAAGAGAAGTGTTATGAACACTTAATTCCCCAAAGCTCCAATACTTCTAATACAGAATTTATTCTGGACAGTTTTAAAACTACCCTGAAATCAAACAGACTGAAAAACAATCAGTAAAAGGCTCATAAGATCTATTCAATACCCTGCAGGCAAAAACCAAAAATAATTGCATGGAGAGTAATTTGTAAAGCAAGAGACTAACTGTACAGGAGAGGAAATACTACATGCTTTCTTTATTTCCAACAGCTTTACAAAACTAGGGCACAACAAACAGTATCCCGGTGGATCTGGGGAGTGGGAGAAGAATATAGAGACAAAATTATGACAGGATTAAAAAAGAAAAAAAATTATCAACATTTCCTGGTATTAGGTCCTACGATCAGATTCCCTTAAAGAAAAATGTCTAGAATTTTCCTCATCACTGTATGAATGCCTCCCCCTACCACATCATCTCTTTCAGGTAAAGAACTACAGGAGGTGAAATCTACTATGGTGTTATCTTTATGTGCTTGCTTACTACAAAAAATAGAGAGTACAACTTCTGTATAAAACTCCTTTTAAAGAGAACTTTTACACACAGATTTCTTCTGGAGCTGGACACTAATGACCCTGTCACTGAAAAATTCTACTTAACCTTATTTCTGTTCGTATTTGAAAACTATTCACAATGGTTATGTATGAGACGCATAGAATTAAACAGAATCGTATATCAGCAAAAGTTAGTGAAAAAACGTTGCTGATTTAACATGAAATTGACAATTTAGCTTCTATTAACTGGCTGGAGAGGGGAGATGTTACGTTCTTTAAGGCTTCACAACCAAAGCATCTTATTTACTCCAAAAGCAAAGCAGTATTTACTGGAATGCAGCCATGATTAGCCTGCATTTACAAACATATTCCTACATTAGCTGGTCTGTATTTTTCAGTACTTGCCAAGCTGTATCCCTAAAGAGGAGATCTGAGTCAAGAGGTTGGCCTATTTAGATTCACCTGTTCAGAGGATTTGTTAAAAAAGCCTGTGTATGGCCATGTATGTCATTACGGAACATTAACCAGCTATTACTGCATAGTCAGAACTGGCAGTCACTAGTAATTAAATGAGTAGAAGTCTAACCCAATTCACATCTACCTGAATTTCATATAAAACAGCATCTCTTTCACAATACATACAATCTGGTTTTATAAAGCAGGAAGCCTTTAATCAATGAGTCTTCTTCCACAAAATCTCTTAGAGAGGAGATGGAGTTTTAAGCTCTGCTTTTGCTAATTTCTGTTTTGTTTGTGCCGTTAGCTTATACAGCTGGAAATTGTGCTGATAGTCATAATTGATGCCTACACCATCCAAGGACTTACATACTTATGCCAGAGAGATGTTACTTAGCATAACTATATAAAAATAAGAAGAAAGGAGGAAATGATGCACTTTTAGTGTTAAAATTTAGAACTCTGAATTTTCTTCTAAGCAGCTACAGGTTTTTAGATGGATGATTCAAACCTTAAGTGTTGACACATGCCACAAGCATTTCAAACACCCTCATATGTAATTCAAAACTTATTTTGTACACTAATACAAACAATTCAATGTACATTTATACTAAACAATGCATTTTAGCATTATTTAGTCTTAATTACAGGCTACATGAAGGAATTATTGTTAAAGTATGAAATTTCTCCTACCTATTATGTAAGACTATTCAACAGTTTTTCCCCAACCACATGGAACTTGCACTTTTTTCTGTGATTCATTTTGGTTTGGGGGTTTCTTCTGCTGTGTTGTTGGGGGTGGGTGTCTGTCTCGGGGTGGTTTTATGTTTTGTTTAGGGTTGTTTGGGGGGTTTTTTAAGCGCTCCTTATCTTTTTTAAGGCCTCCTTTATTGATTACTACTCTTTTCTAATGCTCCTACATTTCCCATTTAAATAATTACATTAACATGGAATCTTGAAGTTTAAGATTTTTCTGAAGACTATAATGGTCAGTGTGTCACTTTCCAAATCACAATGCTTAAACACATTCCAGAGGTAAATCAATGAACGTTCAAGCTCACTGTGGCTAGTCCCAGCCAAAGAAACACAAAATAACAAGTATATCATCTCCTCCATACAGCTATTTCAAGGTTGAGGTGTAATTATGTGCCATTATCTATTTGACAAGTTGCAGGCATCACACACAAAGGAGGGTAAAACCAAACAAAGTGACAGGGAAAAAACAGCAGCTGCAGGGAGTTAAGAGGTAATAGAACACAAGATTTAAACTTTACAGAGCGCTAAATTTTCAGATCCTGTTAGGAAATAACATAATTACACAAGAGCAAGGAATAATCAAGAAATCCTTTTTCCCAGCCTCATGCTAGGACCTCTAATGGCAAATTTACATAGCATTTAACTGCTACTAGGCACTGCTGGGAAAAAAAAAAGACCAGAAAAAAAAGACTAGCTTTGGTATATCACATAAAAGAACTCAGGAGTAAGTCCAGTCTAATATTAAACGGTGAGACACTCCCTCATCTATCTGTTATGAAGTTTCCATATTTGAGGAAAGAGTAAGAGAAAAACTTACAAAGGTGCCTCTTGGCCTGTTGACTCCTGCAAAACCAGAGTATTCTTTTTGTTCATGGTGGGTTTTGAACTCTTCATCTCTTTCCTTCTTGCAATCTTTTTCTTCTCGAGAACTGGATGAAGAAGAAGATGGGGAGGAAGATGGGGAGGACCTAGCACGGTCTTGATCTCTTTTTTGTTTACTGAAAAATAAAAAAATATACTATGTGCTATTTTAAACGTACTAGATAGTCTGTAACATGCTATACTAAACCGTGTCTCTATATTTTATGAGAAACTAGCCCCCTTCTGGTTATAAAGTCACACGTGTTACATATTTGAGATATTAAGGCGAAGTATAGTTCCACTTTCCAGCCTCCTCTTACACATTTAAGTGCATTAAATGTTTATTATTGCTAGTGAGTTGGAAAGCAGCAGTCTGCAAACTGCAAAATAGTTTTTCTAGATTCTGACACCATGAAGAGATTGTTACTTTTAAGATCTGCCTTTCTTCTGAGGCAGAAAACAGAAGGTAAAGGGAAAAAAGCCCTCAAGGAAAAGTTTTACAGAAACTTTACATAGTTCAGTTTGCACACTGTTGAGAAGATATAGTATGGGCTTCCCTACGTAGATGGCTGTAGGGAATTAGCCAGTGGAAGAAAATGTGGATACCGAAGTCAGAAAGTAAATGGGAATCAGGAAGCGTAAGTAAAAATTCATTCTATATACAGTACAAAGCAGGGAAAAAAAAATTCCTACAGCAAGACTCTTAGTAACCCCATAGTGGCATTAATTTGACCCAATTTACAAGACTTTAATATTCTATTCAAAGAAAGGTCATACCTGAAGTAACTCTTACCACTTCTACACAGTATCCACTGAAATATGTTAATGTTTTTTTCTTAAAACAGCCCACTGGCTTTAGAAAAAAATAAAAATTCCCCTTCTCACCCATGTTAAAACCTAAGTATCAGTAAAATTGTCATACTCTGGGTGTTATGAGTTGAAAAAGTGCGGAATCAAGCATAACGAACCAAAGTTCTTACACAAACTGTTTATAGAAATGTACTGCATTGAAGTCCAACCTCCTGATGTAGCCTGGATAATAGGACAGATTAATTTGTCATTTTTTTTTTCAGTGTGTTAGCTTGCTATTCCAAAGTTTTTGTCCTCATCCACCATAAGCCGTGTAAAAGAGAGATAATACATATTTGCTGTAAAACAAATAATTTTAATTGTTTAAAATTAAATGTTCCATTATACATTGAAAATTGAAAGCAATTAAGCTTACAATTACAAAAGGCTAATTAGAAGGTATATTTCTATATAAGGACTTCAAATATTTACCTGTCATCTTTGTAAGATTTGTAATCCTTGTAATCTTTTGGAGTTTTCTCCTGCTTTCTTGACCCACTGGATTCCCTGGAACCCTTTGAGTCTCCTCGCTCTTTACTTCGTTCTTTTCTACGTCGGTCAATGTCATGACGAAGATCAGCTGAATCACACCTTAATTTTTTATCTCCCTGTAAACAAATATATATTTTGGAACACAATTATGAAATAAAACGTCCAGAAGAGAATCTCAGTGACAAGGGAAGTTGGGCATCAATTAAAAAAAAAAAAAAGATAGAATTTACCCATTTCTCAACAAACTTCAGCACACAAATTGACTTTGCCCTTTACATGCAATGGCTACATCTAAAAAAAAAGAACAGCTAAGAATTTCAGTTTCAAACAAGCATTCCCATCAAGGCAATGGGATATATCTAGTTTTTGGTGCATACACACCATAATGCATGGTTTGGGGACATATTCAAGTATTCATTTCTTCTGGTGAATTGTTTTTAAGCAGAGTACAAGCATCTTTGCAATTCAACCACACTACTCATTGACCATGTGGGTACTTCCCCCTGCCCCAACACTTGTTCTTTTTCCTTGGGCAGCTTAGTGGTCAAGACACATGCAAGAAGAAAGGAAGCATGGGAGAAGACTTGACCTTATATGCCACATTATCAATCCAGCAAAATCATGCTACATAAATGAGCTTCTAGATAACATGTTTTACTCAAAGGAAAAAAAAATTCTAAATAAAAGTACTCCAGGTACTATAAATATAAATGACTTTTTTATTTTATACACAAACAGAGATGAAATTCAGATTTAAAAGGAAACAATAAATTAAGTTTAGAAGCACAGGTAGGACATTTACTTAGAACCTACTTTTTGACTTTCTTCTTTAAAGACTCTCTCTTCACCTGCTAAACGAGTATGCTTCCTCAGGGTACTTGGAGAGATGTCAATCCTCCTAAATGTAAAATAAAAGCAGTGTCTTGCCATATACATATGTGACTGTTAATGGCCTCAAACACTTCTTTTCAACAGAAAACTGAGAAGGCATTTTTGCAGTAGACAAACTTTTTGCATATAAAGCCCCACCATCAGAATACAGAAGCAGATTAAAAATTGAAAACCTTGGTTCTGTTCTGTGTAAAGTATGCTAAAAACACAAATATAGGCAGATTGATGTTTCACATTTTAAGTACAGCTTTGAAGATACAAAAAAATGTTTAATGATTTATTTCAAAAGGATCAGTATATGTAACCAGCTGAAAACCCACCCCCTCCAAGAAATCATCAGCATTATGATAGTTAGCTGTGAAGTCAAAAATACTTTACAGTTAAGAAAACTTGTAGAGTTGGACACCATATCCTCACATGCAACACAAATATAGTACATTGCATCATAAAATTATAGCACATGATCAGACACTACATTTGCATGCCTACCTTCTTACCTTTTGGGTTCTCAGATTTTTCAAAAAACTGCTGTAAATTAACACACACAAAAACTAAAGTAGTATGAGATGGAACATTTCACACTGAAGAAGAAAGATGCATGTACAGGGCTTCTTTTCATCTTCAAGACATATGCCCCTCAATATTTGAGCACTGCATGTGAGAAAAGTAAATATATCCCAAATGAGATACAGAGGTAGAGAAGACATCTGTTACACAACCACAGATGAAGCCAGACTCGACTCAGATGAGTTCTCTTTTACAAGAGGGCTTTTTTTGGTATTTTGTAATTACACAAATTACCCCATACAGATTAGAAAAAATATTTTGGATTCTCAAAAGAAATATTAGCAGACATTATTTGAAACAAAAAGCATCTGCATATGTAGTTAACATATATACCTATGTATTTCTGGGCTCTTTTGTCGGGTGCTGTGTTCTTCAGTGGCTTTTTGATACGCAGTGAACCTCTCATTTAGGGTCATTCCAGCTGACTTGAAGTATTGCTCTGTTGGTTACAATAGAAAAAAACCACTGTTTCATTAGTTTAATTCAACTGACAGGTATTTTACTCCTGACAAAGGCAAGTAACAGGCAATAAACAGTATTTTCTATAAATTTATCAGGACAAGCAAATGTGGCGGCTTCCCTATTTTTCCACACTGTAACCCAAACAAAGTTAAGTGCACAGCATCACTGCAAGTCTACTATGCCATGACTGTATTACATCTAATTCAAGCATCATTTACTGATTGGACTTGCTCATTTTTAATGACATTTTCCTTTAATGAAAGAGAAAGAGCAATTTCTTAAACATTTACTTTATACTTTGCCCACAACAGAAAGTGAAGTTACTTAGAGAGTCATGAATACTTGCAGTAAGTACAGTTTACCATTCATCTCATCTTTAACTTAAAATAAGAGTAGGTGAAAACATTTAAGTAATGTATGCTTCAATAACTACATGAAAGACCTGACAAGTCTTTTTTTAAAGGGATACAATTTCTTGATTGGAAGTTGTGATGATAACAATCCAAGACAATTAATACACCTATACATAGGTAAAATCATTTAAGGATCTGGCATCTTGGCAAACTTGACAACTTCTCTGACAAATTTTCTCCTTCCTTCAAAGACAGTTAAATTAGCCACAGCAAAACTCAGTTTTCAAACCAGCTCAACAAATGTGTTCAAATGTAATATAGAAATACATAAAGTCATGAGCTATGAAATGTTACATATGAAGCAAGCTATCTGCTTAACAGGTCAACATACATCTGTATCAACTTACCGCCCGGCATCCAGTATTTGTCTCATAACCAACCATTAAAACTTGAAACGGCCACTACAAGGGTAGTGCCTCAATCATAATTCCATCAAACACAGGAATTTGAGCTAGCAACTCTGTTTTTATGCCATTTTTGCCAGGAAGACAGAAGGTTCAACTTTGCCTGTTTGGCATCTGTATCTTTCAACAGCTATTTTACTTTTGTAACATGGATTTTGCCATTTCAAAACACATTCCAGGACCTAGTTACAATGAAAAAGAAAACATCACTGGGCATTTTCAGCTCTACATCAATAAAGAGCTGTTCAGACTGGTCGCATCACACCAATAATGAACATAACTTCAGTTTGTTAAAAGTGTTACTAAAAATCTGATCACAGACCATAGTAAATATGAAACTTAAAGAGATGTTCTGCTTTCAAAACCAACCATAACTGTACATATTCTAATAACTTGATTATATAGGCTGTTAAGCTGTTATATTTACCAGATATTTAACACACAAAAGTTCATAGAAAAATTCTATTCTGTGATCAACATGTGAGAGTTTCAGAAGTAGTATTTTCACCTATAGCTACATATGCACCATATAAGCAAAAACTCAGAGAAGCTCTCACTGGATTGAGCCTTAAATTTCTTCACATAGCAATAAAATAAGATACTTTCACAACAAATCATTATACTCTAAACAGGTGTCCCAATATTGTTTTTTTATCTAATACATTACCATAATCCATTATTGTTGACTATTACCTTCTTCTTTATAAGTAATTCAAAATGCAGGAAATCATTTGCCTTTAGTAATCCGAATTATGCCAACAAAGTATTTTTAATGTCAGCGCATATTTCCAGCACATAAATCTTAGCAATTTTAAAATCTAACACATCTTAAAAACAATGCTTGGACACAGATTCACTGAAACTGGCCACCTAACTAAGCATTTCCACGTTACCCCTTAGTATGATAATGTGGTAAAATTACTTTCACTAGCTCCATATTATCTCAGTTATATTTAACACAGAAACAAGACAACAGCCCAGTGAAATAAAGCAAATGCTATACAAAAAAGCATTTGAAGAACTCTCTAGATATCCTCACTGGATTTTAGGAATTATCTATTTTCCCATCAAAAAAACTTAAGAGGATATATGATCTAAGTGAAATATATCTACTTTGATGGTCTAGGTTTGGGTTTCAGTGATTTCTGGGGGGGACTTTCATTGTTCTGATTGGTTTGTTGAGAGGGTTTTTTGGTGTTCGCATTAAACAGCCACTACTGTTAAAACAGAAAATGATTAGTGAGTAACTCATTTAACAGAGGTTTATTTAGCCACTGCCAAATTTCTTTTAAGTGAAATTCCTGACAATACTGTCAAATAGGAATAAAATGAAATATCACCATGGATTTTAGCATCATTTAGAACACATTTTTTCCTAAATCTTACTAAGAGAAAGACCCCCTTCTAATAAGAACCTGGAAATGACCTCTATGGTGCTCCAAAAGGAATGGCATTGTATTTACAGTACTAAAGACATCTGTCAACCCACATTGCACCACTTAATATAAATTGTGTATTAGAGTCATTAAAATAAAATTAAATAAGAAAAAATTGACTAATGTAGTATGTTTAAACTACACTAGAAAACTTTTTATGCTACCTACATTCAAAAATTTATCCAAAAACATAGTATAACTGCTACTATACTCTACACTGCTTGTGGGTTTTTTTTATACTAGTGTCTGCGGCTATTATTTTTCTAATTATTTTTATGCATACCTTAAAAGGAAGAAAGTCTGGCTAAATCAACATTAAAAAAGGGCTGAAATCTTCCCATACTAGAAACAGCAAATAGGCTTAAACGAAGTGGTCAGACATGTATCCCATACGATAAACTAAATACATACCTTTGACATGATGAACCAAGGACACAATGTGCTGAATAAATGACTCTGACGTGCTTTTGCTGGCCTGTGGCAACTTAATGTGGTCAAAGATGGATCGGAACTCTTGCTCCTTCTTGATGGAATGAACAAGTGTGCTAGCAAGCAGCCTGTCTTTAGTCAAGGAAGCAGGTCTAAAATGCATCAACAACAGAAAAGGGACACACAAAAAGAAACCAATAGTTTAAATAAAGATGAACAATACTGCAGACAAATGGAGAACCACACTGTAAAGTGGAATAATTTACCTATTGGAATCATCAAGAGGTACTGGTGCCATTTTGAGTTTAACTTCAGGACGATGGGAGTCACTGGCTATCATTTTGATCCTAAGTGGGCTCTCCTCTCTGAAGGTGGATTTTTCTCTCGCATCCAGATTCTTGTGTAGAGGGGGACTGTAATCAAAGAGTTCTTTGAGCTTTTCAGACTTTACCTGCTCAGGTGACTGAGTTTCTTTCTTCATCATTAGCCTCTCAGAACTCTTGTCTTCTTCCTTGTGCTTATCTTTTGTTGCACTAGGCCTTTCCACTACATAGCCAGTCTCTTTAAGCTTATAACTTTTCTCATCTCTAAATCCATCGCTCTCTCTATTGCCCTTGATTGATATTTTAGATTTGTATTTGGTTCCTTCCTCCTCAGCATTCCGGTGAGACGCAGTAGGAAAATTTTTACCCTGATCTGCCAGGACAGACTTTCTGAACTGTCTGTAATCCTCTGTCTCCTCTGTGTCCTCCCCTTCAGAGTCATTAAACTTTTCTTTCCCAGTCTCTTTATCAATGAAAAAATCTAAAGTTTCCTGTTCCTCCCATTCCCTTTCTCCCTCTGTCCTCCCTTTTTCTGATCCTCTCTCCTTCTGGGCCTCCTTCTCCCTGGTATTACCCCTATCAAGCAGGTATACTCTAGACTCTTCATCTGTGTACCTGTGGATAGCAAAGAAGAGACTCGTAACTCTGGATTGCATTCATTCCAGTTCACTTGCATTCCTCTTTCGTGTCAATCCCACACCAAGATGATGATGAAAATACATTCCTCCGAGCAATTAACTGTAGCATGCAACGCTTGGCACACCATTAACACTGTATCCACTGTCCTTTATGCACTACTGGAGGCATCTGAGGAAACTACCTAGAAATTTTCTGCTATAGTTTATAAGAAAGTAGTGGCTTTTTTTTCTTAATCAGTGCCCTTTTTCACATTCTCTTATACTACTCATTTTTTCCATCAAATTCACATGAAGTTTGAGAATTCAGACTACAATTCATTTTTGTATTTCTTTTACCGAAAAAAGTTAAAGGAGTACCACAAAAACGTGAACAATTTTCAAGATCCTGCATATTACTACTTCCAGAATCTGAAACAGGCTTAGCAGGGAACCTTTAGAAGGCAGCTCTCCTAAATACAGAACCACACTTACCAGTTGTTTCACACACTGCCTTATCTATACACTATTTTCACACAGGTTCTAATACATTCACCAACTCCAATACACCTAATCCAAGGGAAGTCATGTTTTGATCTTCTAAGCAGTAATTTTTTTACATAATAAATCACTGACTAGACAAATTCTTTTAAAAGCCTACAATCAAGCCTATATAGCATAGTCACAACTTCTCTCTGTAACACATTTTATAAGAAATCCACTGAAGTACTAGTCACATTAGAAAGGAACAGTCTAATATCAGTAAGATTTTTACAACTTTCAAAAATTACTACTATATCAAACATTTCAAGAACAAATTGAAGAATTTCACATTCACTGGAAAATATACACTGAAGTTCCTTCACATCAACAGAATTATGTTCCAAGAATACCAAGACCAACTCTTTTTGATAAGTAATGCATGTCAAGACAAAGCTGTCATATTGCACCACACAATTAGCAATCAGTGCTGTTTATGTTAACATAAAGAAACCATTGCAAAACATCATCATTTTCTGAGTTCCAGAAGATCTGCATTTCGAACTATATCAACCATTAAAATTTTGAAATACCTGAAGAGAATTCACTATCAAACAAGCAAGTCTGATGCACTATTCCAATTAAGATTTTTCTTAACAGCAAAAAATTGAGTACAAGAAAATACACCTTGAAGGAAAAGCACAAACCCATTTTTCCTCAAGGATACAGATCCCTATCTTCACTAGCCAGCAGTCAAGACCCTGAAGCATCTTAGTACACACGTTTCAAGCTCAGTTCCAACCAGACTAATAGCACTAGTGTTCCAAATCGCCTTTTTCAATGTATAGTGACGATCTTGGCAAAATTCTAACTTTTTAAGAGGCAACATTAGGCTTATAATTTAATTCTTACCTTTTCATAAACTTTCCACCTTTTGCAGCTTCCTGTTCGCCACCCTCAGGATAAAATGACCGCACTCGAGCTTCCTCACGGGGGGCACTCTGTGATGGGATTGTCTTTGCAGGGCTTCTCCTCGAAGGGATATGATGCAATGGGCTATTCTGAGAAGGGCTATAACGGCTAGAACCATTTCCAAGAGAACCAGAGCCAGACCTCTCAGGACTATGCTGAATGGAATGGGAATGTTGAGGTGTGTCCTTTGCTGAGTGGGCTGTGCTAAGCAAAGGGGCATCAGAGCAAGATGAACTCTGACTAGGTGGGGTGGCAATAGAAGGACTATGGGGTGACCTTGGACTGTTATCATACGCTGAAAGGCCAGGCCAAATGTCGCCAGAAGCTGCTGCTGATTTGTTAAAATCGTCAAGAGACTCTGATGGGTCATGTTCAAATGTATCTTTCTGTTCATCTTGTGATTTATTTTTCAAGGGGCTATCTTGCAAAGGAGCCCCTTCAGTTTTCTTTGCCTGCTTTTCCAGAGACGCACGTCTTTTGGAAGAGACAGGTGATTTGCTGTATGGGGATGAAGAACGAGATGAAGAGGACCTCGGGGACCTGGAAGATCTGTAAGATCGACGAGATCTGCTCCGGGACCTCTGGGAAGACACAGACCTTCGTTTTGGACTTCTGGAACGTGAACGGCCACGTCTAGGGCTTCTGGAGTGTCTTCGGTTCCAGACAGGCCTATAACCTCCACGATGGTATCTACCACCTCCTCCTTGATAATACCCTCTACCTCTTCCTCTGTAACCATAGGGACGTCTCATTCCTCTATTATTTCTGTAATCTCTGCGATAATCTCTAGAATAAACACGATCCCTGCTGCGAGATCGTGAATACGTCCTTGACCGAGACCTAGAACTAAAATTAAAAAGCAAATATTAACATCTGACAACTGGAAAACCAAAAAGAAAGAAGTGCCTTGACACTAAATGCTAGATTTCTCAAATGCAGTCAGAATGCTAAAGGACGCGGACTAACAGTCTCACAGTAACTTCTACAATCTCTATTTATTATTTCCGTAATATATTTACTGTAATAAGCATGTTTATACTTCTAAGGACTGTGAAGCTCTGCATCACATGATTAAGATGTTACCAGCCTCAGTGGCCTGCCCTGCCATTTTATTAGAGATTATCACCACTCTGGAAAATGGCATTCAGTTTCTCAGCCACCTTGGTTCACAGCCTGGAACATGAAGTTACATGACCCCCAATTTCATACGCCAGCCTGTGGATAGCAGCTGATGAGGCAGTAAACATTCAACTGACCCACTTCTTTTATGGGAGATGGTAAAGTCTACTAGTAAGAAAGATGAGTGAAAGGCTGAAGGCAACTAAGAAGACAAGGTACAGCAAAGATAAATGGCTTTATCTACTGAAGCCATAAGTTACTTCAGATACGAAAAGTGGAGTGAGAAATACAGAACAAATTACAGAGAAAGAGACTGGACAAAGAAAAGATCTTATGAAGGGGAAGAGAAGAATCAAAAGGGTCACAAATCATGAAGAACCATTTGCGTTCTGAAATTATCTTGAGATACATGAAAATGGAAAAAAACCCCCAATTATTAAACAAAGTAACGAAAATTACATTCAAAGTATAGTTTGCCTACTGCCTAAAATGATATAAGATCCCAGGCTCACTTTTGCCACAGCATCATGCAAGTGAAAAACATTTTCCGGACAAAACCTAATATACCAAACCACCTTTTCATGCAGTGTGACATCAACCTACCTGTATCTCTTTTTCCTTGAATGTGATCTGGATCTTGACCTAGAGCTGGACTGAGATCTGGACTTTGATCTTGAAGAATGTGATCTAGAGTTAGATCGACCCATTTTTCTCAGTAGATATACTCCTTCCCAAAAGGAAAAGCAATGAGGGGAGGGGGAAAAAATGGAAGCAACTATTTAGAGTCCATCTAAATGATATAAATGATACAAATGAACAAAATTTGGATATACTAAAATGACAGTATTAGAAAGAAGTATAGCATTTGCTAAATGAAAGAACTCTGGAGACAGTATGAGTACATTTATCAGTAAATTAAAAGCTCAACCACATTTTAAAGAATTTAACATTACTGCAGTGCACACACTTTGCCTGAAAGGATAAAGTATAACAGTAAAAGGTTTTCCAGATTTAACTGCAAGCTGATCCTGTAGAAGAGAAGAAGGAACAGAAAAAAACCCAAACCATTTCTGCAAATTAAGACACGAAGAACATAACTCTGGACATTCTGATGTATGTTAAACATAAGTCTTGCTATTGTGCAGTTTGTAGTTTCCTTGCATTTCCAATGCACTATTCCTTCTCTGGAAGAAGTTTAAAGTCCACTACAATGTACCTTTTACATAAGGAAAGAAAAAGCCCTGAAGTATTCTGTCCAGCAGTTAAGTTTGAGCCACAGGTATTATTTCTCTTTAACCACATGTACTAAAGCTAATCGCTCTAATCCGATTTTCCACTAGTCAAGATGCTCACCCTGCATCTTTTTAGGTTAACTTTGCTTTTTAATCTATAAGTAAAATGCATGGCCAACTTAAAGATTTTAACAACTAGTTAAATAATATGGCTTGCAACAAAATTCAATGTGCTTCAGCACAAAGTAAGCTATGAAAACTACAACTGATTATAAAGCCACGAGACCTAAAAGAAAATAAATAATAAACTATAATTTCTTCTTACATACAGTCACAGTAAATATTTAGAATTAATGCTAACCATAAAAAAATACACACCTTTTCTTTTTCTTTTCAGATCAGTGGCTAAAAATCCCCAATTTAATTAATAAAAACTTTGACCCATTACCATTTTCTTTTGAAATTGCCCAGCTTTAAAAAAAAAAAAAAAAAAAAAGGGTCACATTAGACAATCTGAATATAAACTATTAACAAGTAACTACATATTTTCAGGCCTTTGAATGCTAAATAATCATCACTGTTTAATAATAATTAAAACAGAAATAGAAAGAAACAAACATCTAGCTTTTGTGTTGCAAACAGGCTTTAAAATCTAAAATTACTGAATTAAAAATACAAGCTCAACACAGCAAGGTACTTTATATAACCTGTCTTGTTACCTGGGTGATACTTCAACTATGTAAAGACAAAACCAATGTCAGATTTTAATTTTAAGTTAATAAAATTTCAGAGATTTTAGACACGTCTAAGAGAACCCAAAAGAAAAAAGCAGACCAACCCTTTCCCCTATCAGCTGGTTCCTCCTGCCCCACATGACTTTCCCCACAAGTCTGCATGGCCCCAGAGGTGTAATCTCACCTAAACCAGCAAAACTTTTTAACCTAAACTAGCTTTACATGTAACTCAGAAAAAACTATTTACCTTGGTGGAGAATATGTTGAATGCTGTTTTTTATGGGCTCATTCCACTAAAAAGCAAATTTGCATAACCTATACTCAGAAGATGGTTTCTAGTTCATTGTGTTCAATTAAACTCACAGAAAATGGGTTATAATCTTTTAAGCTCAATACTCACAGGCAACATAAATTTAGAGCTTTTAAAGTGTTGTAAGACATGATGCATGCCAATTTTCCAAGGGTGATAGAAAAACTGATCTTTTTTCTATTACAAGTAATTTTCAAACCAAACATCAGATGGACAATGTTTATAATATAACCCAATCTCAGCTTTAAATAAATATATTATTATTTTCCCTGTGCTCAACAGTAACATTTATACATTTTGCATTCTATGTATGACAAGTATAGTTGATCTTTACAAGAGATAGACTAATTTATAAAGTTTTATATATTGTAGCTTCTTCTTGCAATCATAAGTTTTAGGAAAACAAAAGCAGTTTTAATTTTCAACAGTTGGGTTCAATCAGAACATTTAAAAACAGAATTCATCTTACCTCAAACTGTTAGTTGGTGCCAACGAAGCAATTATTTCAAAACTCCCTATTTGTGCTTTCAGCAATACGGGTTCCTACAGAACAGAAAATGAGACTGTCAGAGACATGAACGTTCACTAAAGGAGAGGTAACACCTTTTGTTTAAAGGGGTTCAAACATTAACCTGTTTATCATGAAAAGACAACACATAAGAAATAGCAAATTTACTCTTGGAAGGGCAGTGAAGCTGCATGCTAAGACTGGAGCAGGTCAAGAGCCAGCCACTGTCAAGTGGCAAATCCTACTCCCCTTGCACACGCGACCACTCCTCCTTTGGCCTTGCTTGCTGGGCTGTGTAACACATTATCTTCCCCTTACAACAGCCCTGACATCCTTCAGGTCCTTCAGTGACCAAGCTCTTGATACCCACGAACCACTTCCACATAAATAGGTTATCAAAGTGGCTTAATGAAGTGCCAAACTGAGCTGGATTATGGAGTAAATAAAAGCATGCAGCCAGAAAGAGGGGAGTAAAAAGGACAGTGACAAACTGTTAGACCAATTTTAAATCTAACACATAGCTCTGCACTTCATTGGAGCTACCATATTGGAAAGAAAATCAATTGGGATGAGGACTTAGGCCAACAGTGAAAGCTTTATCTTTAGGTTTCTCTTGGAACATTTATAGAAGCATTACTCTATTATACCTTCTTGTTTAAAATGCAAACATATATGATTTTGCCTAAACAGCCAACAGCTTCAAAAACTAGCTCTTTTAAGGTTATACAGAAACAAAGCATAATTGTAATAATAAAACCAGTCTCAAATGTATGAATTTTTCACTGGACTCAGCTGTTAACTACCTTCAAGCCTTAGGACTATGTACATTTGCAATTTGGCTCAACATTAAACAAACTTTTCAATTCCACTAAAGCAAGAAAATAGGAAATTTGTCCCAGTTCAATACAGACAGGATGGGTCTCCCAGAAACTACATCTCAACAATTTATTCATTAAATCCAAAGACGTAAGACATCCAGTGCTCCTAAAATGACACTTTCACACTTGTTCACAGACATTTTCCTCATCTAAAAGAAGAAATGTAGCACTTGTGTTCATAAACACCGCTTTCAAAAGTCCACTTACCATTCACTAGTAGTGACCAAGATATTTCCAATTTCTACAAAATATATGCTTTATTAAGATTAAGTTTTTACTTCTCATCATCAGCAAGCATGAGTCTCTGAAGGAGCACAGTAGTGTATCGGACCATTTCAGATTTTGTCTAGACAAAAGGCGAGATGGTATTAGCTAGTAAAGGTCAATGAAGGCATTCAGAAGTCTACTACAGAAAAAGTAATACAAACTTCAAATTCAGTCCAAGATTTTAAATGAATACTTAAATAATATATATTTCTGACTTTAACTGGTGTTAGCTTAAATCCAAATCGTAATTTAGACAAGTCTTTAGATCCTGGGGATATAGAACAAGATAGTTACTTCACCTTTAAAACCTCTAGGCAGAAGACAAGATCTCATACTCCAGTAGTCAGTTCCACATAACTCAAACTCCTGTAGTCAGTTCCACACAGTTTTAGGAATTTTCCCTAACAACTGACAAAGCGAAAAGTATCCACCTTTTTTTTTTTTAATTAAACAAGACATTGGATTTACTACATCCAACCCCAGCAGCTAAAATATTTTTGCTACCCTTTTCCCAAATATTTTTTTTGTAAGAAGAGTATGGATATAACATTTGAAAGAAAAAGAGCTTTGAATAGAAAACCTTAACTATTGAATAAAAACCACTCAACTATGTGCAGCTTTTGTTCCCATTTAATTGTAATGGGTAAAACCTTGACAGACAACACCCACACTTATCCAAACAATGTTTATATTAAAAAAAAATTGAAAATACTAGATTGCCAGTGAGTTTTTTAGTCTGTGTAAATATTCTCATAATATGCAAGAATCTCAAATTTATTAACCTCTACTAAAGCTTATTTAGAAACAATAATGGTAATAGAAATATGTAGGAAAACAGCTCCTTTTTAACAGTAAGCTTCTATATGCTGCATACTTTCACAGAAAGACTACGCATTCCTCAGAACATCACAACTACAACATACTGTTTGAACAGTATCAAATGAAATTATCCACAGCCTCTTCCTGTAGACTCTCATGCAATCTGTAGTGGCTACACTATGCCAAGTAAGGGCACCAGTACTCAAGGCCAAGGAAAAAGAGGTCCTAAGCATCATATGTTGCTATGCAAGAGCAGCTGCCCCTCTCACTTCAGCGAATGATGCTTTCCTCTGGACTAGTCTCAGAAAGAGACACACAGCCTGCCAGAGGGGCACAGAAACAAGGTGACACAAGAGGAAATTACTAACACCAGTGTTTTTAAGAGGACCACGACTGCAAGGAACATGGTCTATGCCTGAAACACCAGGGCTGTAATTCCCACGCTTTTGGCAACTCAAGCTTCTTTCCACCTTGCTTTCCACCCTAAACAGTAGAAAGGTGACACTTAACTCTGAGTCATTTCACTTCCATGTTAAAAAAAATCTGGATTTTACAAAGGAAGCTGCTAAAGCTCCACAGTACTTTAAATCAGAATACGTTGGCTCTGCTAGTTTAAAGAAACAGTCCCATCTCTCCCATCCTGTGTCTCCTCACATTCCTAATGATCTCCTTTATGCCACAACAAGTATTTCTGCAAGCACATACTAGATTACTTTCAATACATATTATTTTTTCTGATATGGTTCACTACACAGCTCCACAAACATCTGGACCAACACAAGGAAGTTGAAATAGCAGCCAGACAGGACTGCTTCTTTTGGCAGCACCACAGCCTTAAAGCTTCCCTGAAACCAGCCTGGCATAGCCTTCAGAAACAATAAACTTGGTATTTAAGCTTTTTAACAGTACTTGCAAGCAGCTTTAAAAAAAAAAAAAAAACAACCCACACACAAAGCCCCCACCAAAACAAACACACACCCACAAAAAATTAAAACCAACAAAACCAAACATTCCCAAACAACCAAACCTAAACACAGAAACCATGACTTTTTTAAAAATTGGCTAGTTCATCACCTGTCAGATATTGAGTCACATTCAAAAAATATTTCTTTATGAAATAACAAGAGGATCTGTGTCTTAAATTAGTCTTGGTCAGCAAGTGTAACCATTAAGCAAAAACAAGATATGCACCAGAATACCACAAGCAAGACAATAATGAGGAAGCAACACTGTTAGCATTTGCTATTTTTAATGAAAAAATAAAAAGGACAAGGAAAACTGTTTCCAACTCCTTTTAAACATTATTTTCCAGAGTCTTTACTGCACCACTGATGTTGAAATTTTCTCAGAGTACACAAACTGTAGATACAACACATCTCTTAAGCCATTTTACAGGTCACACACCACACATAAGTTTAAGACATTTTAGGACAGTTATACCCACTTACACTAGCAAAACACTGCTTCCTCTTAGCTTCGCTATTTTAGCTATCCTTCATTTAGAGTTATTTAGTAGTCTGTATTTCTCTTGCTTAAGCGTAACTTGAGAGCTGTCAGGAAGATTTAAATCCAAATCTTATTAAAGTAATTCACAAGCTGTTTCCAAAATGCATGTTCATTCAGAGATTCAGGCTTCAAAAGACATGGGGATTATACAATCATGACAAAACAAAAGGGGATAGGACAGTCTACTAGAAATCCCATACAACTTTTAATATTCTCTCATAATACACATACTGAATTACAGAAAGTCTTAATGAGACAGCACTGTAAGTCATCTATTCAGTGTGTGCACATCTGCCGTGCTTTCTTATCCACTCTTTACCTCTTCCCTCCTTTTTCTTTCAATGTCCACAAAAACAAACGTAGCAGCGGCACATTACACATAAGAACAGAATGCATTTCATAGTGACAGTGCTAGTCAGATCATCGAGGACTTAGATTCCTACAAATACTAAAATTCCATGGCAAATTTGCCCAAACTATCTTGGAATGTACAAATAAGATCTAGGAAGCATTATTCTCCCAGTTTCATATGCTGGAAATACAATGGAAACAGTAAAACATACTAAAGCCTTTTTTCCCCAAAATTAATTCATTTCTTTATAGAAAACAATACAAAATACTTGTAAGATAAGTCAAAAGACAGCAACCTAGTAAGAGCAAAATCACCTCTGAAAAAAACTGTCATATGATTGTTAGCTGTTCTTTTATGTAATACTACTGGCAAACAAAAGCATATTTCTCCTCTAACTAAAAAACACAGAAAGCAAAGTGACTTTTTAAAAGAAATTTCTCAATACACAAAAAGAAATTAGCATGCCTCTGGACACATGTTGTTTTGGATAGCCTTTCTGGTTTTTTGGTGGTGGTTTTTTTGTGTGCGTGAGTTTTAAACATAGTGTTTTCATATGCCCTTACACCGTGGTTTCCACAATCTCTGTGATGAAGTACAAGCATGCTGCTGCAGAAAAGGCAACTGTCCCTTCCTCATTTGTTTCAAGACTGATACCACAGCTTAGTGGGCTGCAGCAGTGACCTGATCCAGAAAAAAAACTACTCTGGACAAAAGCTGACTTTTCAGGTCTCCCAGATTCCATTTACCACAAGGCTGCAGGGAGGTCACTGACAGCACAGTGAACACCAGTGCACTTATTGAGAATACCTTTGGGAGAGACTGACAAACAGAACACAGCTGTAACCCAAAGGCTTACTTTCCTCATTAGCTTCCTTCACCTATCCCATCTGTAAACAATCCCTAAACGTTCTCTGGCATTCCTCAAACCTCTATATCACTATCTCTCCTTGACAACCACACTGAATATAATCCATTCAAATACCTGCACCCTAGATCCAAACAACTCCCTGCTGATGTTTTCCAAATTTCTACAACCACTTCGAGTTTTCTGCATGCCCAATGGAAACAGGTCCTTCTCCATGGTACATGATCCTCCCTACTTCCCCCTTCCCCCAGGGAAGAATTCCCTCAGCAACAGCCTTCACCTGTGGCCTCCACAGAGGAGGGCCCACTAAAGTCTCGGCCAGGAGAGAGGCAGTTACCAACAGATGTAACACACTGAACCTCGACCTGCCATTCAGCACAGCCTGTCACTCAACATCAAAAGCGACGAGTGGGAGGATGCAATTCCTACTCTCCATGCCATAAGAAGCTGCATGCTTGGAGCACACATCAGTGCCAGAGCCTTTATCCCCTTATTTTTCCTACTTTTGTCCAAAACAACGTGATTATCGGAGAGGAGAATGAGGAGGAAAGGGGAGAAAGACAACAGCTAGACAGCATTTTCCTGGAACCCCACGTTCTTTAATCAATCCCTCCCACACCGAGAACAACTACTCTAAGTGATGTTTTTATACATTTACAATATGCCAGCCATTGCTCAAGCAGTGACTACTTGCAGCGCCAAGAGCACCTTTGTTTTGCATGCCCTCGGGCCTTTCTGTATAGTAAAATTTAACTGCTGCAGTGAAGGCAAAACTTTGATCTCCGAGATAAACAAGTGACTTGGTAAAGGATCACCATGACACAGAAAGCGAGAATCTGATTCTCACAAAATTAAAGGTGAAAAGTAGGGAGGTTACAAAGCAAAGGAGAAATAATGGATAAGATCCTGCAACTACAGGCACACTACACTGTGATCAACACCGGGAACACAACAGCACCCTTCAGCAAGGGGCTGAAACCCACTCCTGCCCCTCAAGGGGCTTTGCGAGCATCTGTAAGCAGGGCAGGGAAGGCGCGGGGTGCTTCAGGCAGCAGAGCCTGAACCACAGCCATGCCCGAAGGGAAGTTCCTCCATCGACCGTAAAGGCTGATCCAATACCGGGAAGCATCCTTTCTCCCCAGCACCGTTTCCCTCCTCGGCGCCACACCCGCGAGAATAACGGGGAGATTTAACACTCCCGTAATCTGTGCTGCACAGCCACATCCCCTCGGGCCTTCCCGCCTCCCACAGGAGGCCCAGAGCCAAAGGCCGCACTCCCCGGGCGAGGCCCGACGGCGCCGGACGCTCCCTCCCCACACCCCCGCCTCGCGGGGCTTCCAGGGACCAGGGAACAGCTACAAGGAAGATCAGCCTCCGCTTCCCGCCGCCCCTTCCCCCTTCTACCTTCGGTTCCCGGGGCGCCGTCCAGGCGCGGGGAGGAGCGACGCCGGCTCGGCCCGGCTCCCGCGGGAAGCGGCTGCCCGCTCCTGGCCCGGTCCCGGGGTCTGGCCCGGGATAATCGGGATAATGGCTGCGGAGCGCCGAGGTCACGCGGCAGGGGAGGGCGGGACGGCGCGGCGCGCGGACACCGCGCGGCCCGGGAGGGGGAAGGGAGGCGGGAGGAGGCGCGGGGGGGGCGGGGCCGGGCTGGGCCCCCCTCAGGCTTCCCCCGCCATCTTCCCTCCAACCCGGGGCCACCGCCCTGCCGAACCTCCCCGCGGCCCCTTCGCCTCCCTCACCTGGCGGGCGGAACTCCCTGCAGCCCCGCTCCCCTATGGCAGCCGCACGGCCATTTTCCGTCGGGCCGGAGGAAGAGATACGGGGCCCGCGGGGAAACAGAGGAGCCACCATAGGGAGCGGGGCGGGCGCGCGTCACTTCCGCTCCGGGCGGGGAAGAGCTGGCCCCGCGCTCAGCGCCCGGGCGCCATCTTGGTTTCGGGTACCCGTCCTTAAGCAAGATGGGGGAGGGCGGCCGCCCGGCTCCGCTGTGTCCCTGTCCAACGCTGGGGACTCCGCGCCCGGCCCGCCGCTTCCTCGCCCCGTCGCCTCCTCGCCCTGTCCCGCACCGCCGCAAATAAAAGCTGTCGCCTTTTGTATTCTCATTTTCCGAAGAGACGCGGGGGGCTGGGCCGCGCTGGCCGTTGCCTGGTTACCTGTGGGGCGGGGTGCGCATCCATGCACGGGAGTGTCTTGGAAGCGCTTGTGTGTGGAGCGGAGCCCGGCCAGCGGCTTTTCATCCAGCGGCATTGGCAGCCGGTACTCCTTGCGCTGGTAGGGAGATGGCGGTGCCGCGGCGCTTCACTGCAGCAGCTTTGCAGCAGATGGGCGCCCGTCGCCTGGGTGCGATACAGCAGCGCCGCGTCCGGGAGAAGCGCGCCCAGGGGGTCTGCGCCACCGGGAAAGTGCAGCCGAGAGCTGCGAGTGAGCAGTATTGACTGATACACAGGATGTGTGTAGGCTGGCCGGGTCCTAAAATTCACAGGATCATAGAATATGCTGAGTTGGAAGGGACCCACGAGGATCACCGCGTCCAACTCTCAGACCTGAACAGGTCCATCCCCACGGATCACGCTGTGTGCCTGAGAGCATCGATGAGCAATTCCCGCTACTCAAATCTTACACAGCTTGTTTATTTTTTCGAAGGCTATTACATATTATTTCTGAGACAAGAAAAAAACATTAAAAATAGCAAGAAAGGATGCACATAGACCATTTTAACTGAGTTTTTAAATTCAGGGGACACTGACTGTGAGGCAGGCAAAAGCAAATGATAGAGGAAAAAGGCACATAATATGTGAAGCAGACATAATCCCCAAATACTGGTTGGCTGTTTCATGTGTAGGGAAAGTGATGCACTGCTTAGATCTATTTCTTTTAAGGTTTTTTTTAAGCTTGGCCTTCTATGGAGGCAGCAACTGATGAGTAGTTGGTACTGAAATAAATACAGTGAAAGCTTTTAGTTCTCACTAGTTGTGGTTAACTGATGAATGGCCTGGCCTAGAGAGGAACAAAACTCTTTTTAAGGTTTTTTTCCCTTCTGCAGGGGTAGCGGTAACTAACCTGTACCTCAAGTGCAGCACACATGCTACACCTTTTGCTGTAACCAACAATAAGGCAACAATTAGGAGGAGGCTCCTTGATCTGTGACAATGAACTGTTTTCAGAACTGTCACGGGATTTGGCTGCATGCAATACACCTTCTCCTATTTCTTAATGGTCCTGAGAACTGGTGGGATGCTCATGCAGGAACACCTTCCACTAGACCATGTTGCTTAAAACCCCATCCAGCCTGGCCACGAACACTTCCAGGGATAGGCATTCACAGCTTCTCTGGGCATCTAACTCTTAAGTTTTTTGCCCTGATCCATGTGCAGGACTTTGCACTTGGCCTTGTTGAACTTCATGAGGTTAACACAGTCCTATCTCTCAAGCCTGTCCAGGTCCCTCTGGATGGCATCCTTTCCCTCTTGTGTGTCTACCACACCGCTCAGCTTGGTGGTGTTAGCAAACTTGCTGAGAGTGCACTCAATCCCACTGGCACCAACAAAGATTTGTGGGACATAAGCCAACATAAAATACATAGGATGGAGACTACTACTCTTTCAGTTCTCCACTGTATTCAAGACAACGTGCTATATGCCCAGAGGAAACAAACTATAACATGAAACTTTTTGAAAATATATTTTAATTATTTCAAATATATTTGTCTAATGACAATTAATGCAAGTTGTTTTGAAATTTTGTTCACTCCTTGTTTTACCAAACTTTTGCCATTTGGGCTGTGTGATCCTTCAGTGCAGCCCCTTTGTAGCAAAAACAGCAGGACATGTACCTGTGCTTTGAAACACATCAAACCAGTGGCTTTCTAGGGGTATTGATATGAAATACAACCTGACTGGTCTCCCTTTCCTCTTGATGCCCTGACTATAATTTATGCTGTAAAATTGGGATGATTTATCTTGTAAAATTTGAGATTATTTTTTATACAGTTTTTATACAGTTTGTTCAAACCTCTAAGGTACATAGGCACTTCTGACCTGTCTTTGGTATTTAAGAGGCACTATCTTTTGCTACTGAGCAATAAAAAATACCAAAAATAATTCAATTTATGTACTTATTATTATCCTAGGTAACAGTAGCTCTGGGCATGACACAAACTGCTGCTTTATTTGAATACAGCAATAGTCCAGAAAATTTACAATAAAATATGCAGTGCAAGACAATGGGAAGATACATGAAGATACATAAAGACAAAGCAGTACAATAATACTGTGTCATCACCAGCCCAAGCCAGACCCTTGGTGACTGTTAGCAGATGTTCTCACCGTTCAGTGAGGCGGCTGCAAAGTTGTACATCTTCTGAGCACTAACATAGAAACAGGGAATGAGTAGTAAAGTCCATCGTTAGTAGTCAGCAGTGAAACTGGATTGTCTCATCAGGAAATGCCACTCCTAAGAGTTACAGAATGATAATATAACCTCAGTTCCAAAGATTTACTAGGAATGAAGAAACACAGAAAGAGGCTGTCTTTAATCTCTTCAAAAACTGTAGCACAGACTTGCACAAGTCAGTGGTGTTACTTACCATCTTTGGCCTGGTCCTTTATGTGCTGCTGGTACTTTACAAGACATCCACATCTATAGCAGCTGCTCCTCCTGTTAAAACCTTGTTCCATTTTACAACCCCTTTGAGTGGATTTTGTCAATCCATGAGTGGGACAAGGCTCAAGGAAGCTGTGTCAAGGAGATGCTTCAGTAGATGGCACTCTCCCTCTGAAGGAGAATGAGCAAATACCTCAGCCAAGGAATTTGATGCAATGAGAACAACTTCCTTTATACCCTACAAAATTACAATGAATGCAAATGAAGCTCTGCCTAGCTTTGCAATGAAGTAACCTCTGGCAGATCTTCACAAATCAACCTATCAAGTCCTCACATCTGACTTCCTACCTGCTTAAATGACTGTAGTCCATTACTGTTCATCTGAATTCCTCCTGAAATATATACATACATTACATACACACACGTACACAAGTGTATATATTTGCTATATGTATTATATATATATATATACAAATATATAAAAGAGCTCAGTAGTAATGTAAATTGCACACATTAGACTCAGGCTTTGCAGTTGTTCTGCTTCCCCAATCATCTTTTTCAAATTCATTCTTTTATTCTACTCTTTTGTTAATGGTAGGTCCAGTTTGAGGACTTAAGTCCTATGGTTTGTTGATTGTTTTCTGTTGGTATTTCATAGTCACAAAATTTCATAGATCTGGAAATTGTTCAAACCAGTTTACAGAGCAGTTGCACTGAATTAGTACAAGTGAGCAGGCCTTAACTGCAGGTATGGGAACAATAAAGACCTGCTAGGCATTAGGGGAGCTATAACCTTTAAAATCACATCTGTTCCTAACCAAGCAGTAATGCACAGCCATCATACAGCTTTCTAAACTGTACAGTGATTTCCTCACTGTTGAACAGGAAGGAGAGAGAAGAGAGTGAAAGAAACATGTGTAAGACAAAGTTGCAATAAAAAATGTCATGGGATAAATTTATAAAATGTAAATTTAATTATTTAAATCTTTTAGATTTTTGGATTCTTGAGTAATGTGAAATTCCATTTACTGCTGTTTAAGCATATAAATATCTGTTTTCTCACTTGACTGGCTCACAAGTCAAATAAGACTACATAAGTTTTCAATCGCTGCCTCTCCTCTCCCCAAAAATCCTTTTTCCATTTATTAAAATCACAGTGCTAACAGTATTTATAAAATCCAGAACCTGAAGCTATAATTTTGCTACCATATCTCAGATAAAGCTGACCTGTTTTTTCCAATATTCATGTCAGAGCCTGAGGGTGTTTTGTGTCCTATTAGTATGAAGAGGTCTAGGTAATATATGAAAGAGGAGTATAGAGAGTATTTGTATACATCTCTCCAGTGCCAGTGAACTTTTGGGCAACCAAAAGTTGTGCACCGTTGCAAATTAGATTAAGGAATTTCTGTTACAAGAAGTGGTTCAAGCAGTGGCATGCTGCACGAGCGAAATAGCAGATGAACAAATGTATTTTTGAGATTTTCTGTTCTTGATTCAAAACAAAACAAACCCACTGTGAGTGTCAGATGCTAAAGGGACTGTACTCAAAAGTAATATTTTCTGTAATTTGTAGACAATCTACACTGCAGATAAAATGCTGGACCAGTGGAAGCTCTCTACTGAAAGTACCATTTAACTACAGCATTTATCTATTATTTGGCAAATAGATTTAAACTTCCAAATGCAATTTATACAGAATTCCAAATAGCCTTCATACAATAATGTTACTGCTTG